TTAAAATTAATCAACAAAGAAATAACAGAAAAAAATCAGTAAATGTTTCATCAGTTGAATGCTTTTGAAGATACATTCTAGAAACAGGAAATGTTGTGTTTGCATTTGCAGTAACTCTAAATTGCTCTAAGCAGTGTATAAATAAAGTGTATCCTGTGGAAAAGTGTTAATCTTTAGTCAGGCATGCTTGGAAATGGCCGACATACATTAAATAGATGTTGCATGAAAATTTAGACTTTCAATAGCATAACAATGTGATAAGATCTCATATAACCCTTAAAGTAATAGTCTTTTGACTTTAAACAGATTTGACTGCAGTCATTTTTTCATCCAATAGCAGTGGATAGAACAGGAAAACATGCTGCCTTTATCTTTATCATTATTTAATTCTCAAAGGACTCTCTCTTAGACGCAGAGTAAGGATTTACAGTCTCCAACAAACACATAAGGAGAGCTGCATTTGGGCATCAAGGGTAATTTATCTTCCTGCTTTTCCTTCACCTTCATCATCATTTTTCTGTAGACGGCTGCTTACAGCTTTGTTGGGTGCTGCTGTTTTCTACTCGGGTATGGAATAGTAATGGAGGAGTGTGTGACGCCCCACTGCATATTGAGATTGTGTGTCGTGTGTGGGTGTGTTTGTGGGTGTCTGTTTCTTTATGCCATGTACTGTATGTGTGTATGTGTGCCTGTTTTTAATGTGCTAATTTTTCTGCCTCGCTCACAACCTGCCCAGGAGTAAAAACCATCTCCTAAGTGCTTTTCATCACTCACTCTGAAGAAAAAAAAACAAAACACTGTAGGGTTTAAGACTTGGATGAAAATGTGTTGTGTGTGTGGGTATGAAATCTCTTTTGGGAAATATCAGATTTATAAGAACTTGGAATTGATTTACACGCTTTTGTCCATCACTCATAAACTGTTGAGATTAGGTAGTGCAGGAGAAAGGAACACAATCATCGTCAAGAGTTGAAACCAACCACCAGGTTGGCCACACTCATCAAGGATTTATTCATGGGAAAGGGTTCAGTGTTAACAGTTAACAAACCAACTTTCAAGTTCATCTTTTGAACTTTGGCTGAATAGTAATATTTAAAAGGTAGCTTTTTCTGACAACCTCTCTGGTCTGGAATCTCAAAGCCCAAATTCCTAGCTAATAGTAATGTTAGCTAACCATTGTGTCAGACCTCAGTGTAATTATAGTGATCTATGACCCAATCATATTCCCGACGCAAAGACTCTTGGCATGTTACGCAGGAGTCTTTCCTTTATTCAAACTTACGCAGCTGTAATTTTTACAACCAAGCATGCACGTTGTTTAAATAGCAAATGAACTTGCTCTTCTGTTAGCGCCAAGTTTGTTTTTATATGAGGTGCTGTAAGGCACAAAGCGCGTCCTTATCTTGCTGATACGTTCAAATTGAGTCTTTAATGGGACAAAGGGCTGGGAGATGAAACGCTTTTGTTTCTGTTTGTTTGTTTCCAAGCACTCCTCTGTGCACGCACACTCCAATGCATGTTCTGTCGAATACACACAGGAACAAATGCAGAAGCAAACACGCAGATATGCTTTCATGCAACAGAGAGTGTGATTTATAATAATTCATCTTGATAATCGAGCTTACATATATAAATACAGTGTTTCAAGTGCTAGAGAATGTAGCCAAGGATTCCAGCAGAGAAAATAGGGAAATCAATGTGTGCAGCCTATCTATATTTGATGTTGAGCATAGATCTTGTCGGGCAGAAAGTTTAACACAAGCTGTTTCTTTTGTATGTATTAGAATACCCTTTTTGGCCATAGCAGCATTATATATATTTGAACAGCTGTATGGAGACAGTTTATAAGAAAACACAAGACACCAAACCTAAGCCAATAAGGAAGAGAGTGGATTCCTTGAAAAACACACAGGAAAACCAGCACCTGAAACTGCATCAAAGTGCAAAGACTTTGTTGGATTTATATTTAAGCACTTCAACAACAAACAAGATATTAAAACCAGGGGAAACCCGTTCTGAATTTTCAACTAACCCTGTAAAAAAATGAAAATCTTAGCCCTTGACCTGAATATTAACCAGATGTCATAAGAATCTGTGAAGTAGCAAACAAATAGACTCAGAGAAGCTTTCTTGGCAGGTGTAGAAAGTAAAGCTGCAACACTTCTTAGCAGGATAGAATATCTGTATTCAATTTTTTGCCTCGATCCCAGATACTTTTGACACACAGAGATCTGCGATAGAAGCATTGGAAATACAATACAGATGTTATTATGTGTTGCAGAAGCTTGAAACCTTTTGCTCCATTTTTGATTGAAAGTTTTTTATTATCTTTCCACATTTTGCAGCTGTTCATTCTTCTGTGCTTCAGGTGTGAGATGGGTATGATCAACAAGTGTATTCAATAATCTGTCTTAAGATTCAGTCAAAGAACTCTGGAGTGTTAAATACTTTTGACTGTGTGTATGGGTGTGTAGAAGATCTAAATAACAATGGGGTTGTTGTAGAGGATGAAATCACTTCTTCAGAGACTAAGTACCCTTCTGTTGAGCAGAGTGTGAGAAATGTACCACACATTACTGTTTTTGTATGCAACAGTGTTGCAACAAGCCAAACTCTTAACACTCTCCAGTTTTTCTCCCCCTTTTTTTGGAAAATGTGTACATAGACACATACATCCTATAAATGTCACGGCCATGACACCATAACTGTCAACCTTTCAGTGAAGCAAGGTTAGAGTCCAATCTTCCCCCATATGACGTTTTGTACCCCATAAATCTTTGAGTGTGACACGACTGGAAAGCAAGCTGGTCGTGATGCTGAGTGCTGGAATATTCCACTTGGTTGTTCTCAGTGAGAACAGTTGAGTTGAGCGAGAGGGCGGCGGGCAAAGGCAATGAATGATGCAAAATGTAAAAGAGGCCGACAGACTCTTGTGCGCATATCTCATTCTACCCTACAAGAGTATTTACAACAAAAGGAGGTCAAGTGCAAGCTGGTTACTGGGACGAAATCTCTTTCTGCACTCCTATTACTTACTTTTAGTCCTGCAGCCGATGTCACTTACCTCGGTATAAAAAGAGTTCAGGCAGAAATCAGCTGTTACTGACACTAAGTTGTCTCCACGGCTGCTCTGCATCCTTTTTACAGCCTCGTGTTCTCCAATCTAAACTGTTTGTTTACCCCAGCTTAATCCTTGGTCAGCAGAATGGGCATTTCCTGTGCATCTGTTATTTTCTTTGTTTGGTGCGTGTAGCTGGCAGCAGTTCCTACCCTTTCTCTGGTGGCCAAACTGAGTAGTTTGTCTCATGCTATGTGGGAGGAAGTCTAACCATCAGTTAAAGGTTCTGCTGACTGGCAGGAAAAGCCTTTATGCAAGCCCAAACACAAACACTCACATCAGCTAGTGTATATTTTGTGATGTAGGGTGCCGAGATGAAATCAGAGGGTTTGGGTTTCTTTTGTTGTCTGGGTACTTTTCATCACACTGACATTGGCAATAACATAGATGACTCACAATCTTGTCCAATTGTGTTTTGCGTGATTCAATAACTTTCTCTAGACAGGGTTGGTAGATCTTTTGAGAAAAAAATAAAAAAAGGAAATGTCTGTTTCATTTCTAAATTTTTGACTGTCTTTAAAAACATTTGCAAAAAAGCCAACATAAAACAGTAAAAGAAGTCAGCTGAGCAACCAATTATGTAGTAAACAGGAAGCGGCCTGACTCTCCGAAAGAGATGAGACTGCCTGTTGTTATTCCTTTTTTCAAGAGACACGTCACGTGTATTGCTGGCCATGCTGGCGCCAGTCGAGATCTCCTGGGTTTTGACATGGAAGCTGTTGAATATAGTTTTCTTTCTGTAGTCTCTGGATGCATGATTGTATCTGCATTTGCTAGGTCCAGGCAAACTTCACAGAGATCTGATTTGTTTGCTTTGGCTGTCTGTATTTGTTCCCAGATCATGGGCCATTGTTCCACACAACCAGGGAACCCCAGGACTCTTGGTGTCAATGTAGGTGTTTGCCTGGAGGTAGTTGGTCATGCATCATGACATCACAGGGAAGAAGATCTTCCCCTCTACAGAAGAAACATCAGCACCTATCTGCTTTGCTATTCATTAGTAGTCAATAAGACAAAAACAGCCAAAAACTGCTAAAGCTTGAGAGGAGATGAAGTCCTTTTGCACTGCCCCACTCCTCCCTCACTCCTGTGATGTTACATCCTGTTTGTTGCTCTCTTAGAGCTCAGGGAAGGACTCTTGAAGAGAAGAGGTAGCCACTATTCTAGCAGAGTCTGCAGACAGAGACACACACACATCCGTATCGCCTAGCCTCCTCTTTTTCTCACAGAATCACTGCACATGTTGCTCCATTTCACTATCTCTCCCCCCAAAAAAACATCTTTCCTCACCACTCTCTAACACCAACTTTTTTTCTCATCCTACATTTTCTCACCACTCTACAAACTCTTTGCGAGACTCTTTCTTTTCACCTCCTCCCTCTCGCTCTGATCTGTTCCATCAGACATCAGCTGTTTTCTTTTTCCCCAGGAAGTGTTTTATGTATAGAACATTAATTAATTAGATACAGTATCAGAGTAATGGTAATTCTTAGCCCAGGCCTCTCAAGACCCTGAGGCTAATGTTGGGGCAAAAATACATTGTGTGTGTGTGGTGGTTGGGGGGAGGTATTTTATGTGCAAGTGTATGCGTGTTCAGCAACAGCAGCCTGTGAGGTTTTATTTTAAGATTTGTATATTTGTAGCAGCTTGAGCTAATTGGCCTTTTCAATAAATACTTGTATGAGTATTCAAAATGTGTGTATGTGCACGGATGTCTTTGTGCAGGTGTGTATATAAATGCTGAAAAGTTATATAAGATGAAAAAACTTGATGTCATCATATAGGTGACAGGATCTCACCACATAAACTACTGTATTTCATTTCAGATTCTTATCTAACATTCTTTTTCCCTTCTCTCTCCATTCTTTTTCCCTCCAGGGACAAGCTCCCACACCAGCACTGGAACATGAGGGAGCAAGAAAAGAGGAGCTCCTCAAATCATAGATGCAGACGGCCATAGAAGACATGAGCACCAGCAAATCTGGCATCAGGACAACTTTCATTTGCCAATATTTACATAACAAATCAAATGTTCCCCCTAATTAGAAAATTGATAGTGTTTACCTGGAGACTCAAACTGCCAAACAAGTGATACATCCCACTCCTGGGTTCATTTCTACTTTATCCCTTAATTTCTAACACAACCTCAATAAAACGATTGCAAGACAAGCTAATACTTTACAATGCTGTGACTTCATTTTGACAGACACAGATCTCCCAAAAGGCATAAACCAAGCTAACATACACTGAGATATAGCTATTAATAAGCCCCTCACTGCCTTTCAAATGGCACTAGCCTGCATGGATAAATGTTAGATGGCAAGCATCTGTGTTTGGCTTTCTCCAATGGATATTGTGATGACATCCCAGATGGCCCAGAGGACAGGACAGGGACCGCAGAGACACAGTTTGACTGGAGGTTCATCTGTGGTCCTCTCCACAGCCAGTTCCTTCCTCTGTTGGCTTGCCCTGCTGTCAATAATGCGGTTACCAATGGTAACAGCAGACTGCTGGCTGATTGAAGGGGAGAAGGGCTTTGTGTGGCTAGCTATCTGCAGTATGAACCAGCCACCTTATGAGGCCATTCCCTCCCATATTAACAGGTAAGAAAACGTATAATGAAAGTGAATTTTCTTGAGATTATTTCTGCTTCGTTTGGAAAAACATCTAAAGCCTTCATGCTCTTCTCAACAGCACTATCGTGGATCTGAGACTGAATGAGAACAAGATACGGTCGGTCCATTACTCTTCACTCAGTCGTTTTGGAAACCTCACCTATCTAAACCTCACCAAGAACGATATCAGCTATGTGGAAGATGGAGCATTCTCAGCCCAATTCAACCTGCAAGTGAGCAACCATATTCTCATTATGCAAATGCACCATGAACTGTGTTTAAGATGTGGAAGAAGCCACACTGACGTCACCCATTGGTTAATGGACTAATGTCTTGAATCCAGAAGTTACAATATGTTATATCATAGTAAAGCAGATGTCCCCAGAGGTGGAGTACACCCTGGACATTTCGCCAGTCCCATAGCGTATTTCAAACTGCGCTTTTTTTCGTGCCTTTAAGGTAGCGATTATCACATGTGATTCTATTCAGCCAATCAAATGCTTCATCAGACCAGGCATTGAAAGTGAACATGATGTAACATGTAATAATAACAGGAACACACAGAGGACTTGTCAGTAGACACCGTTCCTCTGACCATCAATAAAATATTTCAATTTAAATCATAATACACCAATTCTAGCTTCAATTTAATCAAAGCAAGGTCCTTGGTAAATGATACAAATTCCTCTTTGCATGCAGATGAAAACACTAACGCACAACAAAGACACCCGCTCATTATGGCTTCCAGAAACATTGAGGCAAAAGGGTTTTTTACCAAACTAAGCTGAACACAACCATAATGAGCTGGCATGCTTTCACATGTACCCCAGCTGCTGGAGCTTTTCCAGGAGGTAAAATGTGTACAAGATCTTCAACACAGCACAGAGGCTTGGATCACTATGTGAAACATGATTGTACTGAACCATCATCTGTTTGTTCTGCGTGTTTCCAGTACTGAGTGATGCCTGGTGCTGGCCAGCACTTCAGAGATTAGAATAATCCCACTTGTCTTTGCCTCCTCAGGTTCTCCAGATGGGCTTCAACAAGTTGAGGAACCTGACAGAGGGGATGCTGCGAGGCCTGGGCAAACTGCAGTATCTCTACCTGCAAGCCAACCTCATTGAGACTGTTACACCAAACACCTTCTGGGAGTGCCCTAACATAGAGAATATAGACCTCTCCATGAACAGGTATTGTCCTTGGTCTGTGTATGTGTTCAACCAAAGAAAAAAAAACCTGCTTTTGTAGTGCTGAAACAACTGATTTAATATTAATGTGGATGATCTAGGAATAACAAATAACATCAATAAACCAAGTTATTCTTGAAGTAAAATAGAACATTTACTAATACAATTTTACAGTTAAAAAAAGACATGGCTTGTTCTGATCCTATTGTTACAATTTTGCAGCTGACAATTGGAAATGCTACTAAGCACTCAAAAAATGAAAAGGGCAATTCACAATGGGACACTGAGTTTATATTTTCAGGTTTAAGTGTGCATAATACTAACTAGGCCAGGGTTGTAATCATGTTTTGCACAGCTTCACTGGAGCTGGTTGTTAACAGCCAGTTTCACGAACAAGTTATACATCAGTATAACTTGTCATGCCTGATGTCATCAGTTTAATGGCTGCTTTCTAAATTTACCAATTTACTGAGCTGTGACTGGCTAGTACTACCAATTGAACTAAAGTTGGGCAGACATCCAATTGGAAAAGGCACCACAGAAGATCCAAAGATATATTTATTTTATTGACATGTACCTCAGTAAATCATGATGCAATTCTGAAACATCCCATGTTTTCAATAAAAGTTGAGATTCCCACTTTTTCTCAAAGGGAATACCTGTCTTGTTCTTGCTATCTGCACTGTAACTGGTATTGATCTTTTAACTTTACTGTGAAAGGAACAGCTGAATGGAGCAAATTCAACTGCTTTTGGGGTCCTGTTGAAAAGTATTTTGGGAGATTTGTAAGACTGTTGAGTGTAGGTTTAGAGAACTGAGTAACAAGAGCACATTAGGGAAAAGTGCACCAATTTTATGGATCAAAGTCTGTGTTCAGGTCTTGGAGGGTACGACTGCATATGTAAGAGAAAAAAATCGAGAACACACAAAGCCTTTTGGTTCCAGAGGGAGCTTTGCAAAGTCTGCCTAATTGCCTCTAGTGGTGTCAGTTGAGAGGGCAGAAGACTCCAAGTTTGAAAATATATTTTTTTTAAAAAGGGAATTTTAGAGACATTAGCTCACCAGACCTCTGTAATGACCCACAGCTATATAACCCGGTACTAGACCAAAATTCCTAAGCATTCTATTTTTCTTGATAAAGGCCTACCTCCTCCTGCATATCTGTGCTGTAATTGGCTGCTACTGTCCTATGATTATATATTAAATGTTGCTTTAAAGTTTGTCTAACCTTTGGCTTTTTATACAATGTTCTAGCCTATTGTTTTTTTTTATCCAGTAATAGTATTCACTGTTTGTGCCTTGTGAATATATCCATATCAACAAAAAAAATTTAACCAAATGTATCCCCCCTTTTTTTAACAATAATTATAATAGTAATTATATGCTTTATTTAAATAGCACCTTTAAAAACAAGAGTTTACAAAGTGCCTTGAGAAACAAGCAAATCAGAAAACTCAGAAGATTAAATATCTAAACATAACCAAGAAGTGTTGGTGCCTAAACTTTAAAATATGTGTTTAGGTTTGTAAAAAGATCATTTACTCAGTTAAAATATTAAGTCTATGGCCTAGTGGTTAGTTTGCACACCCCATGTACAGAGGCTAAAGTCCTCAAAGCGGGCAGCCTCAGTTTGAATCCAACCCATGGCTCCTTTGCCACATGTCATTCCCCACACTAAAACAACGAATATATATTAAGTCTACATATGTCAAGAAATGAAATGTTTTGAGTTAGGTGTTGGCTTTCCCAATCCCAATAGATATAATAGCAAACAAATGAGAGCACAGCTTAGGCAGGATAAGGCAAAGCTCTTTAAAAATCAAACTTAATCCAGTCTCTGGAGCCAGGAGAAGATGAAAAGAACATATTGACATTAAAGATATTTGGACAGGGTCCATCAAGATCATGTTAAAGAACAACCAATGAGTATGTTGTATATGACTAATTGGTATTGTATTTAGCTATGCAATTTTCACTGAAGATAGAGATTCTAATGAACCTATTTTTGTCCCTTTGTCCCACTTCAGGATCCAGGTGCTGGATGGCAGTTTGTTCTCTGGACTCTCTAAGCTGACCACCTGTGAACTTTACACCAACCCCTTCAACTGCTCTTGTGAGCTGCTGGGTTTCCTACGCTGGCTCTCAGCCTTCCCGAACAGGACCAGTGAAAGGATGGTGTGCGACTCCCCACAGGGATTCTTTGGATACAACCTCCTGAGCCAGAACCCCCGTATGCCTACCCAACGCAATGCTCTGCACGTACTCAGTCTTGTATGCACAGATGATGGCGTTACTCCCTTCTTTGTGCTTGGTTCATCTGATTCCACCACCCTTCCTCCAGATTTTGCTTCTCCATGTGGATTGGATGATTGCGCATCAGGGACCCCTCCAGATGAGGAGATCAGCTTAAGCCCCATTTTCACGGATGTCAATCCAATCATGACGCTAAAGCAGGTTCAACATTCAAGCGCTGTGATAACAGTTCAGATCCCTCATCCGTACAAGAAAATGTACATCCTGGTGCAATATAACAACAGTTTCTTCACGATATCAGGACTCTTAAAAACCAGAGAGAAGATATTGAGCTGAATAACCTAAAAACCAACACTGACTACACATACTGTGTGGCTTCTATACGAAACTCCTTGCGCTTTAACCACACATGTCTGACCTTGTCAACTGGCCGCCGTGCTGGGGCCGGAAGGACTGCCAATCAATCGTCAGCCACCCATTACATTATGACTATCTTAGGCTGTTTGTTTGGCATGCTACTAATTCTTGGGCTTGTTGTCCACTGCCTCAGGAAGAGGAGGATAATGGAGGAGAAGGAAAGGAAAATGAACAGGATCCAGAGGACTCTGATAGAGCTCAAGTATGGTGGAGAAGGGGATATAGAGGGGGGGAGTGGGGGGTCTGTCTCCCAGAAGCTTGCTGCAGGCGACAGTCTGTCCAGAATGCCATACCTTCCTCAGGGTGGTGAGATAGATCCATATAAGCTGCAGGAGGTGATAGAAACACCAGCGCACAAGCCTGCTAAAATGAACTACATGGAGGTGAGAGGGTCCGGTATTGAAAGGGAGAGAGAACGAGAGCGAGAACGAGAGCGAGAGCGAGAAAGAGAGATGTCCCCTCAAGCAAATCCACAGGGCTCAGTAGCAGAGATCTCTACCATTGCTAAAGAAGTTGATAAAGTTAACCAGATCATCAACAACTGTATAGATGCTCTCAAATCGGAGTCTACCTCCTTTCAACAAGGGATGAAATCTCCCTCTTCAGCAGGTGGAGGGGCTGTTTCAACTGCAGAGCCACAGCTGGTGCTTCTTTCTGAGCAAGGAGAAAGAGGAGACAGAGGAACTGAGTTCCTTTCTCCGGTGTATAAGGGAGGAAGGGGTGGAAGAGATGAGAGGGGGAGAAGCTACCATCATTCGCTGCAGCGACACCATAGCATGGAAGCTCCTCCAACCTCCAAAAGGCCCAGTACCTCCTCCTCTCCAGGTTCCGCCCGGAGCCCTCGCTCATTTCGCTCAGAGGGAGGCTACCACTCTTCAGAAACCCGCTATATTGAGAGGTCCTCGCCCGGAGAGAGAGGAGAGAGAGGAGAGAGAGAGAGGGAGAAAGAGGTGGAGGAGGTGGAGATTCTATCCGTACTGTCAACCCTGCAGCAGCTATTCTACGAGCTGAAGCCCAGAGAATTCGCCAGTACAATGAACATCGCCACTCCTATCCTGGATCCCAACAGCACCTCCAGGACCTGCAGCACCATCCCCAGATTCTGCAGGAACTGCACCACCACCCAGGCCGTAAGCCCTCTGTGTTAGATCCGCTGACCCTTACCAGGCAGGCAAAGCAGCGAGAGCTGGCCTACTCCCAGCTCTCACCTCACTACCCACTCTCACCCCAGTATCACAACCTCAGCTACTGTTCGAGCCCAGAAGAAGATGAGGAGGAGGAAGGGCTCCTCTGCACCCCAACCCTCGGGCTGTGGGAGAGGTTCAAACTGCACCGCAAGAGGCACCGGCAAGCATCCATGGAGGACGAAGGATACGTGGCAGCTGGGCACGCCCTTAGGCGAAAGGTGCAGTTTGCCAAGGATGAAGATCTTCACGACATTTTGGACTACTGGAAGGGTGTGTCTGCACAGCAGAAAACCTGATCCAATATCTGGAAACCCCAAACCCTTTGAAGATGGAAAATAACAACAACCGTAACATGATACAGATACAGAGAATAATAGAAAAATGACCTGTAAATACAAACAAACCACGTGACTAACAGGCTCTTAAGAGTCTTTTGCACACATACAGTATGTCCATACAATACAAAATAAATACACAAACACTCACACACAATGGCTAACACTTCATCCAAACCAAGCCTTTTCTTCTGATAACATCAAGGAGGACCAAACTAATATATTATATTAAAAAACAGAAATCATTACTTATAGAGAGACTGAGTTACTTTTTCTAATGTAATGAGAATTATAGCTCAGACTTATGTAGCTATTTGTACTAAGTTTTGAATGAAGAAAAAAAAAAAACTTGAGAACAAAAACCTTAAACTTTGCCAGGCAACCCATCCTGAAATGCCTGCTTTTAATCTGCCTTGAGACTGATATTCATAAAAAACCTTACAACAGCAGATAACCTCACCCTCACATTTCTCATTAAGGCAGACGATTGCTCAAGATTTTTGGTTTTGCTAGGGTGGTCCTTTTTCATCACACCCTGCGATTCTGCAGCAAAAAAACAAATATTTTGAGAAATAAAAAATTTGCCATTATTTGGGAAATTTTAAACATGAAAAAACAAATTCTGGATGGGTCGCCAGGCAACGGTAATATTCAACTGTGCTGAGAATGAGTAGGTAGCTCTCAAGAGAGAGTGAGTATAATGTGCCAAATCAACCAAGGGGATAGTAGAGCCCTACTGTGTACCAACTCCTCGCCACTGTTTTTATATACAGAATTTAAAAGTCCTAGAATGATATGTTATTACTATTAATTATTCTTATTACATTACTGGTCTTCTTATTATTCCTATGCTCCTCATCATTAATACTCTATCATTTGAATATGGCATGGCTCTGTCGTGTGACTGTGTTTTGACTGTTTTGAACCTCTCAGCTGAGAAGTGCGCACCAACAGAGACAAACAGTGTGATGGACGAGACATTTGAGTTCTTCTTTTCTACCAAGAGGAATGTGCTCTCTAATGAGCCAAAAACAAGGCCCTCTTCTCTCTTGGTGAAACCCTGCTACCCCTGCTCCTCATCCTCCTGAAGAGGGAACGCTATACAGATGCGAGAGAAAGAAGTTCTATATTTGCAACAGACCTGACTGTTTTGTTTGTACAACATGGTTTTGAAATCTTTCAGACTTTTCAGACACCAGAGTCCCAAGTTAGTTACCTACCTGCTTACTTACAATTGTACGTTTTTGATTTTGAAATCCAACTAAAAATTCTAATCTTCAAATGAATGTCTTTAATTCCCAAAGGGGAAACATAACTGCACTGTTCAAAATCAAAAAACGACTCTTAGGAAAAGACCTGAAACTCTCAGCTTCCTTCCCGATATACTGTAGATCCACTGTGTTTTATCAACTCTTCATTTTCTTTTCTCCTCCCATTTTGCAGGTTTTTTTTACTTTTGATTTTTGAATTCCTCTGGTTCCACTGTGGTGCCGTTGTGCCAACTTGATAAATCACAAAAAAGTATTTGAAAGAATTTTAAATACTATTTACAGACCTCTTCTCCGCTACATTGATACACATAAGTTGCCAAACAGATCAATTTGCACAAAACGATCAATCATCATTGGCTCACTGCTCCCGCCTATCCTCTAACCATTTCTAAGACCAAAGTACTGTGGTAGTAAATTAACCTTAAAGCCCCAGACCCGGCCCCAACTATTTGCTCACCATCATCCTTACAGTTACAACTTTAGCACATGCATACAAATACATGTTCAAGTGTGTACGTGCACACGACACAACCATAACCACACACAGATGAATGTATTCTTTGAGAAAATTAATACTGTTTATTAGCTGTATTTTCTGTTTCTGATGTACAAGCTGTTTTGAAACAGTGTCCTCATCTCTCAGATAGAAACTTTTTTTACAAATGGCCTCTGGTGTTTTGAGATTGGAGAAAAATTAGGCAAATTTTCCGAAACACATCTGGCCACACCAGGCTGATCCTAATGGACCAGTTTGTATCATAATTTCAGCCAGACGTCCACAAGGCGCCCAACATTTTCCCTGCAGACGTCTGTTGAAGAAATAGCAATGGGTTTTTGCCTTATCAATTATTTTTTAAGGTTCTGAATTGTGCGGTGTTAGAATAAAATGTTAGTATCACTAGCGTGAAGAAAGAGACTATGTGTGTATCTGCAGGATCTAAATAATGGAGGCTGAAAAGAGGAGAAAATGTGATAAGATAAATACTGCTGTTTATACTTAACAGAACTGTGTTAAAACAATTATTTAAGAAGGGTGTGAACCAGGGTTGGAGTCAGTCTCAATTCAGTAGGTTTTGAATTCAACAAGTTTGTTTTGACAGTACTGACATGAAATTTGTAACAACATACTTATACTTAGTGAATCAAACTCACTTTGCATTCTGGATTGAAACAAAAATTGACTCCAACCTTGAAACAACATTGAAAACTAAACAATAGAAACAAAAGAGCTGGCAGACAATGAAACGTTTATGGTGAATGGAAATACTGTATAAAATACTTTTTTTTTTTCTGCTATAATGAGTTGAGAATGCTCAAGTCATCAAGCCTAGTTAAAGCCATAATCATGGGTTAGTGACATTTCCACAGCTGTTTGTAGCACTGGGAAGTTCTTTCATTTGTGTGGCTCTAAAGGGACATTTTCTCTCCTTTTCCTGCAGCAGCGACAAACACAGTTCTGCTGCAGCAAACAAAAAACTCTGATCTAAGAGGATACTGGAGAGCCGTGGTTGTTTCTGTATTACACGTCCCAGATTGCGGCTTTAACTTAACAACAACAGCCTTAAAACATTCAAGTTTCTTTAGTCTTTGTAACTTAAACATTGCTTTGAAAATCAAAATAATGTCCTGGTTTCTTAACTTATACTATCATGACTGCAATTTTATAATTGCTTGATTCTTAAGCCTCACTTGAGCATTTTTAGAGTAACAGTTATATTAATGTAGCGATGTATTGAACTACTGTTTTTTTTTTTTTCCTGTTTTGTTTTTGAACAATAATGGCCTGAATTTATCACGTGTCAAAGAGTAGCAGAGCTTTTCTAGAATCAGACATCAAGGAACTGAGGGTTGAGGAAACCAGTTAACAGTGACCCCAATCAGTGCTGCTGCTATTCTTTGAGGCGTGATGAAGAGAAACTGTGTTTTTTGAAACAACAATGCCTAGAAAGTGGAAATAAATAGAGATCCTACTGACAACAGAGACAGAGACGACAATGGAGCATGCTGCAAGGAAATCTTCAGTGGAAGCTTGTGTTATTTTCTTCAAATGAATGACTCAGGAGCAAGAAAGAAAAGTGAGAGAGAGAAACGTTCTGCCATAGGATCTCTCAGAGGCTTTATTTATTTTCGTGTCAAAAAAATTAAAATGAGCACAATAAAAATAGCCTTTCTTTCACTGTCTCCTTTCCTGGAGAAAAACTATACACATACAAGATGTTTTCAACACTCAGGACTTTCATTTTACATCTCTACATTGAACAGTGGTTGATTAATACTTTTGCTTCAGTAAATGCTTAAAAGGGTTATCTATATATCACAAAAAAGCATAGCTTCAGTGGCATCTAGCCATAGACAATTCTGGTGTTATTTACGGTTTTGTAATGTCTGTCTCTGAAATTTGAAAAGTTATATTAAAAGATTATATTAAAAAGTTATAATTAAAAAAATGTAACATAAATATCTCGTTCTTAGCACTTTCCCAGTTTCCATGAAAAAGACACAGTCAAGACTTGTGAATGATGCACAGGGGAACATGTAGCTGAACTGCTGGTGTCCCAGCGTTATCCTGGAGTATAATCCATAGTAAACCAAACACTATTTCTTTACTTTGTTGGCAGCAATCCTGTACAGCAGTGCGACAAAATCTGTTCACATAAAAATATATTTGTAGTTATATACGAGAAAATATGTTTGTGCAAGATTGAGAGTGGGAGAGTGAAAAGGAAGGTATGGTACAGGAACAATTGTTGTTCAGTAATTTCAGAAAGTCAGACAATAATAAGCCAAATACATTCAGAAACTGTTGCACCATCTACAACTCAGCTGTGGTGGGACGTTTATGATGGGTTTAAACCATTGTCTGATTCATTATCCCATGATCACTAATGCCTCATTGCATAACTGAGTAATCAGACTAAGGTGATGCATTTTTTGCTTTGTGTGATTACATAAAAACCCAATGCAAAGATATTTTACACTATAGTTATAAGTGTTCTAATTTTACACATCCTGCATGAGATGCAGCCCAATTTCTAAGAGGCAACATTTAACTTGAGAAATAATTATTTGAACATTGTTTTCAGGATTTATATTCTCAGGTATTCAGAAAAAAAGTATTGTAATAGTTTTTGGGATTTCAGCCATCTAACAAAGCATGAACATCAAATTTTAACAAAGTAACATCAGTCCAGTATGTTGTCATTCTGGATACCATTCTGACCAGTTCATTTCATACAAAGCACAAAAAAGGCTGTTATATCCTCATTTCCAGATTCAATCAGCTGATGTGTTACTAAAGTTTCTTCTCAGCTCAACATCTAAGACAGACACCTATAGTTTAAGTCCATACAATTAATCGTGGTACTTATCACAGTTTACAGTTCATCAAACTGGTATGATTCAAGTAGCACAGTAAAGTTTATTCAGATCGTATCGTTTTAGTTGAGGGTG